CCCCAGCCACAAAGCCTCCTTTAATCAAAGTTGCGATTAAACCTGACAGCATCCTCACGCAGACTCTCCTAAATAAGATTTAGAACAGCTAAAATTAGTCTAATTTGGTTTAAATCATTAATCGTTTTATCCACTTAATTCAATTTAAATGTCCACACAACGAGCATGCACAGACTTTGTTACTGTAATCTAAACCAAAATTGAATTGAATGTTGTTAAATTAGATCAACACAATCTGAGTGCTGCTATGAGAAGTGTTTGCCAGAGATGATTATCAGCTGATTAGTTTATTATTAAACTAAATAGTAATCAAATTATCCTGAGCTCTGTGTCGGCCCAAAACCTCCAGCTCTAGTACTTTGGGAATGCAGGGACATCTCCATCAGCACTTTACCAACACGAGCACCCTTCCCAGCCCTCAGGAAAAGACTTGCAGACACAAGGCTCAGCAGGCAACAAAACCCTGCCTGAAAAACCCAAAACCAGCCGAAAATCACTTTTGTAAGTGAAATGTCACAACTCCAAGGCTCCACAGCGGCCTTTGTGTGGCTCGGCCGCTGCTGCTGGGCGTGAGCAGGGCCAGGGCAGCCCCCACCTCTCCCTGGAGCACGCAACGACCCCCAAAGAGCTGCGGGAGCAGCCGTGACCTTGAACTTCCCCTGTCTGGTCGCTGTCTCCTCCAGCTATCTTTTCTCCAATGGCCATTTTCCTGAGCGTTGCAGAAGAGAAAAAACACAGCCCGAAGTCAGGAATCGGCTGCAACCTCGGCTGCCAAGTTGGCAGAGAAGATAAGGACCCTTTATTTAAAGTAAAAAAAACCCAGACGCTGAGGAGGGATAGACAAGTCTTTAGCAACTTTTACAGCCAGTCTTGCAATACAATTTCCTAAGCAGACTCAGAACTTGCAGGAAAAAAAGAACAACCCAGTTTTCAGCAGGAGCGTTTTCCTGGGGCAGGGGCAGCCTCGGGACGTGCGGGATGTCAGGAGCCAGGGGTGACTCAGTGCCCCACACAGCCCGCACAGCTCGGCTCTGGGGAGGGAAAACCCCTCCGATTCAAGGGCCGTGCCCCTTTTTGGGCGGGTCAGCAGCGCCCTGGCACCTCTCGTGGGCAGGGAACCCAGCAGCGTGGGGGCATCAAAGCCCGGGGAGCAGGAGGGAAGGAAGGGAGGGAGCTTTGCCTCCTTCCACACGCACCCTCTCCCTAAAACTGCTGCTACAACACCAGCTGATATTTTAATTTCTATACACTGCCCAGCAGAGCCATTCCCCTCCTCTCAGCACACGGATCCGCCAAGAAGTCTGTCCCTGAGTCCATCATCTGCTGGAAATCCCAACAACTTCTCGTGGCTTCAGCAGCCCTCTGGGCTCAGCAGCTGCTGAGATGTGCCTGGAACCCAGAGCATTCCTTCTGACGGACCTGCAGCCGATGATGGTGATGATGGTGATGATGATGCAATCGTTCTTGCATCATCAGTAATGCCGGGGGGTATTGGTGCAACACTGCCTGGCTGCAGCCCAGGATGGAAACAGCAGCGTGCTGCAGGTGGCACAGAGGGCGACACAAAGGGTGACACAAAGGGTGACACAAAGGGTGACACAGATTCAGCTCCAAGTGCAGGAAAAGTGAAGTGCGGATCTGAAGTTGATGTAACCTCCCCAGCTTAGGAGCTCCCCGAAGTTCTGTCCCTCCCAGGAGGGCAGGGGATGTCGCAGCTGCAGAATCACCTGCTGACGCTTCCCCTCGCTGAGGCACCTGGAGAAACCCTCCCCAGACACTGTCACACCTCGCCCGGTGACACCGCCGCGTCCCTGGGGCGTTTCTCAGCCCCGTCCCCTTTCTCAGCCCCCTCCCCCGCGGGCAGCAGGGCAGGGACGTTTTGCTGAATTGGCCCCGCCAGCCCCGGGCCCGATCCCAACGCTGCCCTGCTTTGGGAGCCATGGATGCAGATCCTCTCCCTGCCTCCCAGGCGAGCGGCAAAGCTTCTATGAACACAGGAAATGTTTCTTGCAGAAGCAGGTACGGAGCTGCACAGCAAGCCGGGCATCAGATCTCTGGTTTGGGAATTCGACTGAGACAGTCTTGGGGTGTTTTTTTGGAGGGAGGAAAAACATAAGTTTTTTAAGAGAAAAAGGAGAAATGGAAGAAGGGATGGGAAAACACAAGGAGAAATGGAAGGAGAAATAAATGGAAGGAGGAATGGAATGGAA